CCTCCAAAATATGGGCTTTTCAGTTACTGACTGAAGCATAAGAAACACACCCAAAGAGATGCAAAAATAAGGACACTGATGGCAAATATTTCTTGGCTGTGCTGGCGATTTGCCAGGCAACATTTAAAGCATTTTATTTTAGTTAGCCAATACTTACAGGCACAAGAGCTAAACTTATTTTTCAGACAAAATATTGAGGCACAGGGGAATAATCGAACGTGTCTGGAGATGATTGTCTAGTAAGGAATAGATCTAGATGGTGCATGTATGAGTTATGTAACCTGATTGACTCCAGAGCCCATATTTGCTTTATTTCTTTATTCATTGCCCATTTCTTTGCTTGGTTTTGCTCCATTTTTTTTAAATGAAAGGACCTATAGAACTACTGAGTTATGCCATTCTAAGATTCCTTTAAAACTGAATGCTTCATATTCAAAATAAGTAATTCACTGACAAAACTTAGTCTCTTGATACAAGGCACAGGCTGAGAAATGCAATCAGTTGTTTCGAATGTAAATAGACTGATCCAAAGGTTGACTTTCTGCATATTGGCTGGCACTTGTTCAGCAAGAGCTTGGGGTTCATTTATTTTATTTATTATTTATTTCCCCAACCGCTATCCTGCATGATTGGGGTTAGTAACAAGACAAGACTGAACTCCCCACCACTGGCAACTTTGCAAGTGAAAGTTCTTACAAACGCCAGTTTACCCTGGTTTTCAATTAATTATTATCAAACACCCCGATTTACTCTTAGAAAGACTTCCTTTCTCTTTGCCTCCTCTTCTCCGACGCAATTATTTTTGAAATGACGTATCACAGTAAGCTAGATTGTCTTCCTCATAGTCTGAGACGATCTTGGAGCTTTCTCCCAGCGAGGTCCACCTCCTACTTCTTTGGGGAATGAAAGGGGAGATGGCAGAGGACTGTGCTTCTGCCATCCTGACTCTGCTCTCTAATGCCTCCAATAAGAGCAAGTGGGCAGAGGCATAGAGTAGGAGAGCATCCCTAAGGCTCAGAGAGACTTTCAATTCATTTCTCTGCCATCATCTACACAGTCCCAAAGGACTTTCTCTAGCCAACTCTAGGAAGCCTGGGTAGAGAGCAAAATGCAACTTTGAGTCAGGAGACCAGGACTGCAGCCAAGAGGCCCCCACTAACTAGCTGTCTGCAGCCCAGAGCCCCCCACTAACTAGTTGTTTGCAGCCCAGAGGCCCCCACTAACTAGTTGTTTGCAGCCCAGAGGCCCCCACTAACTAGTCTGCAGCCCAGAGGCCCCCACTAACTAGTTGTCTGCAGCCCAGAGGCCCCCACTAACTAGTGGTCTAATCCTTAATAAGTTGCTTTGTCTTTCCCGGCTCATTTTCCTCATCTGTCAAGTCAAATGAAGTTTCTGGAATAGATGATCTCTAAAACCCTTCCAGCTCTACGGTTCTATTCTGGGTCTCTCTGCACCTGCAGATAGACATGTGGGGGCAGGAAGGGCATTGGGAGGGGGAGGGATGTCACACAGGACATAAAACACTGTCACCTGGAAGAGCCCTATGTCCTTATGTGTGCAGCACAGCACAAATGTGTCTCAGATTATCCAAATAATTGAGTGAATTCCCTCCTTTCTTTTGCGAATGGACCACAGCCTTCGTTTGGCTGGGAACAGCAGCTGCTTCCCTGAAATTTCCATCCAGGGCTTTCCATCCTCCACTGTGTCCTCTGGGAAACCTGTCATGTTTTTTCTGGATGGATGCCCATAGAATTTTAATCCAGCCAGAGAGAGAGGGAGGGAGAGAGGGAGGGAGAGAGAGAATAAGAAGAAAAGGAAAAAGGAGGAGGAGGAGAGAGGGAAGAGACGGGAGGAAGACAGACAGGCAGGGAGTAGGGGGCACAGAACTCCATACACAACAAAAAGCAAAAAGTAGTAGTATGGATTGACTTTTTGTTTAATTGGTTTATTTCAAGTGCTTGGAGCGTAGATGGGCATCTGCTAACAATATTATTTGTACTGCAGAGTTCTGACCAAAGCCAGTGAGTTCACATAGTTAATTGGTTCATCTAGATGATGCAGAAGACAGCCTGTGTTGGAGACCTCCAGGGTGCTACCTTGGTCCTGACATTTCTAGACACTGAATAAATCTCTACTTCATCTCAGATAGTCCCATGTCTTCCTTTCCCAAGTCAGCATTTGTAGATCCAAAGCAGCAATGGTGGTGTGTCTGCCTTCAGAACTTAAGTTCCCCCAACTTTAAAAGATACAATGTCCCAACTAAGTTGTAGAAAGAGTTGCCCCTTTTCCCTAGCAATAAAAAAGTGATTCCTGAACTCTTATCCCAGACTGTTGTCAGACAACTTTGAGATGCGGAAACTGGATTTTGTTCACTCCAAATCAGGTTGGTCAGTGCAGGACAGTGGGCTCCTGAGAAAAGCTCCTGACTTCACGTTTCCCCTGCCATCTCATGTTGTTTGGAAAACACAAATGAAAACGAATGTTAGATTCTCAGAATGTTTTGGCATTAACATTAAGGGCATAGCCCTGTGTCACTTTGAGCAACTTCCATCCCTTGGGGATTCCAGAAACTCAAAGCAGGAGTGATGGGGAAGTAAATTTAGAGCCTTGAGAAACTGGTGAAGACTTGGAACACCCCTGAGGTCACAGACAGAGAGGAGTTCGAATTTTGTATTTATTGACCTGTGGCTTGGACAAGTTATTGAACCTCCATTCATTTAGCCCTAACCTGAAAAGTTGCTACATTACTGAGAAACAGAATATTTAATGTGTTTAGACACCAAATATGCTAGCGCTCAAAACAAACAACAAACAAATGAACAAAAGCTCTCGAGAGTTCAAAATGTAGCTCTAAGAAAGTCTCTAAAAGTGGAGGGGTAGGGCCGGCTGCCCAGAATCAGAAAGAAGTTAGCCACTTTTTTTTTTTTTAAAGACTTCCTCCAGGCCTTGAGCACGCAGGTAGCAGGTGTGTCTGCCTACTGACCCCCCCCCCCGCCCCCATGTCCTAGGAGGCTGCAGAATCAATCCTAAGGCCTAGGGGCCTGGATCCATCTAAGGTTGCTTAGTTCTGTCTGGGCTGTTGCTGGGGTCCCAGTGCTACTGGGGGCGGGGAGGACTCTCATTTGCTCCTAAGCGGGAGTCTGGGTGCCCCAGGCTGGTGTTTCCTAGCCACCCACCGCCTGGTGAGTGGGTGTGTGTCTTTGGGCTGGAATTCAGGATCCTCACTCTGAGCACTGCTCCCGGCCGGGCCGGCCGAGCTCAGCAAGCAAATAAAGCGCTCAATCAGGAGCATCCGAGGCGTCAGGAGTCCTTCTTCACCGACGTGGTCATTGGGGCCAAGAAGCGGGGAGGTTACAGCGGACTGGATCGCGGAGGAGGGACCCTTTTTTTCTCTCCGCTTCCTGTGTTCCTCCCAGCTGGGCAGCGACAGCGGACGTCGCTGGCAGTTGCCACCGGGTCGCCCGGGAGGTGTCCGGCATGAGGGTTTCCTCCACAGAGGTATCTTTGGGCTCTCAATCTGCCCCCTCAGTGGACACCATTCAACACAATCACCCTGAGTATTCCTAGTCATATACTCAAAGTCCGAGGTCTGCCTTGGAACCGATCAAGCGCGGTTACCCCTAAGCGGCCGGAGGTTGCACAGGGAGGAGAGCGGTTTCCCGGTTTGGTCCGCCCCTTCCACGTTCAACAGTCCCGAGGGACCGCTGCGGTGGCCTGGAGGTGACAGCCGGGCGGTGGGGAGGGCTCAGAGCCCCTCGGAGGCCGCCACACACACTCGCTGCCCTCCCCACTCACTCCCTGCCTCCCACCTTCTCTCCAAGACCCCCGCCCCTCCCCCGCCCGCCTCCTCCCCATTCTTGGAATTGTGTGGAAAAATTCTCAGCCAAACCTCCCACCTCTCCTCTCCTCTCCCCCCCACCCCACTCCCTTTTTAAAACCCCCTTTCCTCCGCGGCCCCTGCACTCTTTGTGAATGAGGGCCGGGAATACGGCCCTTCCCCCGCCCAGGAGCCACGCCAGACCGCCGCACTCAGAGGACTGTTTCTTAATAGTCCAATTAGATAATTGCCATCTTTCACTCCTTTTGCTCCGCATTTCCCATAAAGGAATGAATGGGGAGAGCGGCGTGGAGAGGGCTTCTGCCCCGGCAAGGTGACGAGAAGGGCTGGAGCAAGCTCCTTGCACAAGGCCATGCGCTTGAATTGAATCATTGTGGCCTAATCAATGCTGTTATTGGATTACTGGCTGTTGCTTTTCTCAAAGACATTGTAGCAAGACAATGAAATAGCTGGGGGAAACTTTTTTTTTTTTTGAAGCAGATCTCACAGTTGAGATTCTCTCCCTCTCTCTCTCTCTCTCTCTCTCTCTCTCTCTCTCTCTCTCTCTCTCTCTTTCCCCCTCCCCCCCCCCCTTTCCTGCTGGACTCTGAGTACAAAGCTGCCCTTTGAATGGGCTGCCTCAGGGCTGCTGGAGGTGCAGGCATGAAAAAAAAATCCAACTGAGGCTCCAGGAAGAGGGGCGGTAGTTTAAGATGGCTGTCAGCATCGAGGTGTGTTAAGGAGTCGCTTGGGGAGAAAGCTTGGCTTTTTTGGAGTGTGTGTGTGGGAGACTTTAGGGGGAAACTTTTCTCCTCCCCCTTCCCTCCCCACCCAGAGGCAATTGCTTTCTTCAGCGACGAGAACTGAGGGGGTACCCTCCCCCCCATTCAGCTCTATATGGAGAGCCTGGAGGAAACCCCCTTTAGCCAGTATGTGAGCAGGAAGGTCAAAGGCAAAGAGAAAGTTAATAATGCCTGCTAATGGTGCTAACAATTCAGGATGAATCTTGTCAAAAGTTTTTCTGGAAGTGTGGGTCTTTGATTGTGTTTCCCGAAAGCAAGACCAATCATTTCCGTTTATTCACTGGCTAAACCCCTACTTGATTGGGGACAAGGACAGAAACCATCCATTACGATCTGATATATTATCCAAACAATTTAGTGTATTCATGAGGTAACTGAAACGTGGGGGCTGCGAAATTACCCGTAATCAATTGCAACAGCGAGTGTGCGTCCCCCCGGGTGTCGGACAACCACAACTCGGCCGTCTCAGTAACAGGCGGAGCCGCCGCGTTTCGGAGTTGCGCTGTTCGCTACCTGATCGCCAGCCTGGGGGACACTGGACGTGCTCAGAGGACGCGGACGCTGACGAGGCGGCCTCGCCACTGCTCCACCGGGATCCTGGACCAGACCAGCCGCCTCTCTGCGAGCGCGCCACTCTCCTGTCGCCGCTGACCCTCCGCGGCCGCCGAAGCCACCCCGCGGGGACATTCATTCTCGCGGGCGAAGGAGCTTAGGGGCTGCGTTGTAGGGGTTTTGTCCCCTTCTGCCTCTTTTTTTCCCTCCCCCTCCCCCCTTTTCTTCTTTTCTGTGTTGTTTTGCCTATGTTCGGGAAACCAGACAAAATGGACGTCCGGTGCCACTCGGACACGGAGGCCGCCAGGGTCTCGAAGACCGCGCACAAGGAGAGCCGGGAGATCAAGGGCGCCGAGGGGAGCCTTCCGGCCGCCTTCCTCAAGGAGCCGCAGGGCGCCTTTTCGGCGTCTGGCGCTTCGGAAGATTGTAACAAAAGTAAATCCAATTCCTCCGCAGACCCGGATTACTGTCGCCGGATCCTAGTCCGAGGTAGGGATGGGCAGGGCTTTGGGGCGCGTTCTTTTGGGGTGATTCCCTGGCCGCAGCTGCGCGCTACCGCCCAGAGCTGGCGAGGACTTGGGAGAAAGTTGTTGCTGGTCTTCTTTCTCGGGTCTGGCCGGCCGCAGGGAACCCGAGCCTGGGGCTCCCCTGAACGCGTTCTCCTGGGGCCTCTGCCCTAGCAGCCCTGAGGGGCCCCGCCAGCCCAGCTACGGAGAGGAACCCAGACGCTGCGAGGAGTGGGCAGGCCACCAAGCTGGGTTTTGGACCCCAGTCCTCCGGGGGACGTGAACGCGTCCTCCGGGATAAGGACCTACCCCGGTAGGCGCCTCCGGGCTTCTGAGCCCTGAAAGGCAGAGCGCACCCAAAAGAACCCTGGGCGTAGAAGCGCAGCCTTCTCCCGCAGGATAGCGCCCGGCCAGTTGGCAGACTGGGCTGAGGGCCCTGTCGCTGAGCTTCCGGCCTGACCGAGGCCGCCTAGAAGACCCGCCGAGCTGGGTCGCGGGGCTGCGGATGCCGCCTTCTTGTTGGATTCGGCCTCGCACAAGGAGCGGCGTGCGCTCCTCCCGGGCAGTAGCGGCGCCAGGCCGCCTTCAGCCGGCGCCGCCCCCGCCAGCCGACAGCCCAGCAAGATAGCCAGGCCCCGCAAACGGGTTTTCGGTCCCTCCTCCTGCTGCCGCCTGGGTAGGAGCGGGCCAGAGACCCTGGATGGGGGTGGGGACCGCAGAAGTGCAGGCTGCTCAGCAGTCTGGGGCCATGCTGGGGTTGGGGTGATCAGTTACGGCCCCCTCTGGGCTACTGGGGACTCGGATCACGCAGCAGAGGCCCCCTAGGCCAGAAGGAACATCCACCTATTTAGAATTCAGTTTCCCCCCTTCAGTGTTTGGGGTCTTCTGCCAAGACAAAGTCTGGTTACTCTTCCATTTAATGCTATGAAGTTAGCCCCTTTGGTCTCCATACAGCCACAGGGGCTCGGCTTCACGGCTGCGGCCACCCCTACCTACACCCGCCGCATCCTATTGGAGACTTGTCCCTAGCTTGCTCGGGGCAAAGAGGAGGAGAAAATTGGAGGGTTCTGGTGGCTGACATGTACCCTTCCCTAGATGCCAAGGGGTCTATCCGAGAAATCATCCTGCCCAAGGGCTTGGACCTGGACCGGCCCAAGAGGACACGCACGTCCTTCACGGCGGAGCAGCTCTACCGGCTGGAGATGGAGTTCCAGCGTTGCCAATATGTGGTGGGCCGGGAGAGAACCGAGCTGGCTCGGCAGCTCAATCTTTCCGAGACCCAGGTACCCAGCTGCCGGGATGCTCACAGCATCAGGCTTCCTCTTCCCAGCACCCCAGCCTGCCTTTCCTCACTGTTTACCTTGCTTTGGATCGAACCTCCCAGGGACATGGAGGAGTTGGGGTGGACAGGATGAGTCTGAGACTTTCTCCTCTTTTTAAAACTGTCTCTTCCTCTCCTCATCCGCAAGTCCTCCATGGTCTAATTTCCGCACACCTTGACTTGGCCCAGGGAACCCCATATTCCGTCCTTTTGGAATTCTCATTGGCTCTCAGTCTTTAGAATTTTTGGATGAATTCTGATTTATCAAAAACTGATCATCCCCCCTCCCGCGCGCTACCGTTTGAATATATACTGGGAATATATTCCCAGTAACATCCCGTTTGGGGACTTTTAGGTTTACCCAACACACCAGTTCTGCAGGAAGAAGGATTAGAAAGCGGTGCCAACTCCCTAAGACCGGCCTTTGCAAATATGGCAGCCCCACTCCTTTAAAAAGACAGCCCTACGCACCACTCTGGGAACCTCAGAGGCACTGTCCTCTGTGATGACAGACAGAGTGTAGGATGGTCAGTGGGGCTGGTGACTTGGGAGCCAGCACTGCACATTGCTAAGATTCTCTCCTTGCCTTAAAGTCCCATGCTGCTCTGGAACTGACCTCGAGAGTCATGAGCTTTACACGACAAGGCTGAGAGGGTTTTCCCTGTGTGGGCTGTTTGGGGGTTGACCAGAGTGTAGGAACAGCTCCTCAGCTCGCTCTCTGGTCTCTTTTCCTATGCCCAGCCCTGAAGCAAGTGGAGAGCATTTTAGGCCTAAAATCCTGGCTGAATACTGAGAACCGAAGACAGGATAGGTGGGGAAAATCTGAGTTTGAGACGGCATAGTAACGTGTTTTGCTGTCTGTGTTAATCCCCTTTAGCTTGCAAAATCTAAATAGGATGTTTATTTATTTTTCCAATATAGCCACTGCCCTCTATTCTAGGTCAGAAGAGATGGAAGGGGAACCGGGCATTGACATGTATTTAGTCTACATCAGGCTTCTAAGACTCCATGACTCCAAAGTCCTCAATAGAGTGCAGAGGAAGTGATAGTTATAACAGTATCGTTAAGGTGGAGAAAGCTTGGCCTATGAAGTCCACCCGGCTTCCACCCACCTTCTCTCTCTAAGGCTGGTTGGTGGTCAGTCTTTGGCCTAACAAGCAAGAAACAACCCCCAAGAGTCTCTAAAAGGCACAGATAGATTTTCTGTGGCCAAATTTGAACTCACTGGTCTATCGACCTGGATCTAGAAAGGCTGAAAAACAGTGTTCCCAGCCACCTCAGCTTCCTGCACAACCTTCCCAGGCCTTGAGATCTCAGGCTATGCTGATTCACCGGTTTGTGAACACAAAACACCTCCGTGGGTATCGCAGCGGCACAGTGAAATATCTGTCTTCCTTCCTTGTTAGTGTGGTGGACGGACACTTCATTTCTTTGCTTTTGTGACCCTCTCTGACCTAGGCCTGCTTGCGTGACCCGGAAGCTTAGCCCAGTGGAATAGTGTCCCCCTCGCGGTGGCTCTTGCTCCACAAGCAGCTTTGGAGCCTTGATCCTCTGCTGTGGGGTGGGGCTGCGGCTAGGGCTGGGGTTAGGGGAGGGTCCCAGTAACCCAGGTACCCCCAACTCCTCCCCCCACCAAAAAAACCCTGCTGCCTTTGACTCTGCTCTTTCCTGCTGCTCTCTTCCACGTTTCCTCCTGCATATCTACGCTCAGGTGAAGGTCTGGTTCCAGAATCGGCGAACCAAGCAGAAGAAGGACCAGGGCAAGGACTCCGAGCTGCGCTCCGTGGTGTCAGAGACCGCCGCCACGTGCAGTGTGCTGCGGCTGTTGGAGCAGGGCCGCCTGCTGTCGCCGCCCGGCTTGCCTGCCCTGCTGCCGCCCTGTGCCACCAGCGCTCTCGGCTCGGCTTTGCGAGGGCCCAGCCTCCCAGCTCTGAGTGCTGGCGCTGCCGCGGGCTCGGCCGCCGCCGCCGCTACTGCCCCGGGCCCCGCAGGCGCCGCGTCTCAGCACCCGCCAGCCGTGGGCGGCGCTCCCGGCCCAGGGCCTGCAGGGCCGGGGGGACTGCATGCTGGAGCACCCGCTGCCAGCCACGGTCTCTTCAGCCTGCCGGTGCCATCGCTTCTAGGCTCTGTTGCCAGCCGCCTGTCCTCCGCCCCGTTGACGATGGCTGGTTCGCTAGCTGGGAATTTGCAAGAACTTTCAGCCCGGTACCTGAGCTCCTCGGCCTTCGAGCCTTACTCCCGGACCAACAATAAAGAAGGGGCCGAGAAAAAAGCGCTGGACTGATTTGAAGTGTTACCCTGTATTTATATTTATAACATCTATTGTGGTGGTATTTATGGACTCATGCGCGCATTAGGCGCCCAGTGCTCCTGCGCTGGCCTTCCTGGCCCCCACTAGGCCTCTGACTGCTCACCCCGCTCCCCCTCCCCACAGGCTACTGATTTCATCCCAACTGAGCTGTTTTTGTTCTCTCTACTTTTCCTTCCTCCAACCCCAGCTTCCTTCTAAACCAGGATTGATCCAAAGAATTGGGGAGAAATACCCGAATTAGCAACCTGGTTCCCCCAGCCTTGCCAGCCAGGGAATGAACAGACTGAGCCTAAGTCAGCCCCCTCCCCCCCCCCTGCACTGCTCCTATGAGTTTTTGCAAGATGAAGTATGTTCGCAGGCCGTCAGGGACTGAGAATGCTTCTTGGTTTCTTTAGGACCCCCCCCCCCAAAAAGGGCCTATCCCCTCTTGTCAGAGAAACCAAGGCTTTTGTGAGTTTCTGGCCCGGGTTTTTAGACCTCAGGATAATTGGTGCAAACACTTGTCCGAAGAGTTCGTGAGTTTTTTCCCTTTAAGGAAGCTCTAATCGCTATCTCCTCGACCCCGAGAAACGATAAATCAAATGTCTTGCTAGGCAAAGGAGGTAATAAATTTGATATAATAGCAATAAAACAAGGGTAATTGTTACATAACACCAGATGAAGTGTTACCTATTTTTAAACACTCATAAATAGTTGAGTTTGCAAAGTATAAGAAATTCGGGCTAGAGACCGCACCACGGGGCAGTGCAAAATTAAAATCCAGAGTGCTGTGACTTTAGCTAGGAACTTAAAGAGGAAAAGCCAGCGATGCCTAGAAGATTCAAAGCAAGATTCAGAATCTTATTTGGGGGGGGGGGGCTGTTCAGAGCCCTGACCCATAGCTTCCTGTTCTTCCCATGAGAGCGCGGTGCCTGGTGGCAGTCCACCAGAAACGAAATTACAGCAGAAGAGCTGGGGTTGGAAGTAAATCAACACCCCAACACCTGCTGTTCGGCTTCTGAACTCTATCTACAAATGCTTTTCATGATGCCGGAAGCTCCCGGATTTCCTAACCCTTGCCTTCCGAAGGACAGGTTGGGGTGTCCGGTGGTGTGGCCTTCACCAGTTCTAGTTCCTGGCTGCCAGTGGTTCCCTGCACGGCACACCAGACACCTCTTCCTCCTCAACCCCAGGGTGTCAGTCATTCAGAGTGAGAACCCTTACCACCACCACGTGGGCGCAGCCTCAGCCCTAACCGCAACCCCAGCCCCCAGAGCCACCTCCACTGCATTTTAACCAAAACCACAGGCCCAGAGCGCGAGGTGCCTCAGTGTCGAGAATGTATTCACCCATCTGAAACAAGCGCAAAACGTTAAAGGAAAATTAGTAACTTTATTGTAAATTATTTACATGCGAAGGTTTTTCCCTTTTCTTTTTCCCATTTCTTTTCTTGTTTCACTTTTTTCCCCCTTTTTGTTCCTTTCTCTCTCTTTTTCTCTCTTTCGCTCTTAGGTAAATAGTGAAGAAAATAACGAACGATTCAAACGCGGGTAGGTGTCACTGAATCCCGGCTACTAACTGTGTTCTGGATGTCTTGGCTCTTTGGATGTTTTTGTATTTATGTGGTGAGAGTGAAAAATATATATCTATGATGATTAAGTGTATTTTTGTCCTATATTTGAAAGATAAAAAAACCACACACACATACACGCACGCACACACGCACAGAAAAAGAGACGGTCCAGCAAATGATGAGTCTCAGGGTTAGGATGCGAGTCCCATTCCGGAAGAGCAGGGAGGAGGGCCCGCAGACCACTGACACTCCGGCAAGTGAACTTTGCCGGGCAGGGGTGGGGGTGGGGGTGGGGCGGCATTTTGTCCCTGAGTGACCTGCCTCTGGTCCTGAGTCCTTTTTGATCTTGCCTTCTTTGTCCGAAATATAGATTTCTCAGTCTTTCTGTCCTGCACAAGTTTCTGTCTAACACTCTCCGTGTTTCTAGCGTTTTCCAGCTGCTTTAACATTGGGATTTTGTACAAATCCGCCGTCCCGGACAAGCAGGATTTTAATTAATTTCTTCTGACTTAGAAATCTCTTGGCCCTTAAACAGAAACCTTGAAAGCGAAAGAACACGAACTAGATATCAATTCCTGGGTGTGTGTGGATGAGGGACTCTTCCTCCCGCTCATAAGACGGAGACTGTGGCCCAGGTCGGAGGCCTTGGTCTGGACTTGGGGATGGTTGGAGTAGTCCCAGAAGATGCTGGCAGTGGACATGACCGCCTCAAAAACTCAAGCAGTGGACATAACGGAGGGTCCACAGGGTGGTATCCCCACAAGTCGGTGTTGCTGGTGCAGAGATCACAGTTTCCAGTCAGTCGCTGCAGGGCAGCCCCTGAACCCCAATTCGAACGCTATGCTTGTACTCCCCAGGGGAAGAATCCAAGACAGGGAGGGGTGTCAATGTGTACAGCAGTTCCTTGAAATGCTGAGGAGGGACCGGGTGTGTGGGGGGTGGAAGTCTCAGGCTCTGGGTTCTGCTGACGTCAGAGCAGCAGCCCACACAGTTCACTTTTTTGCTTTTCAAAGTCGGTCTCACACCGACTTCTCTGTCCTCCCTCCCTCCCTCCCTCCCTCCCTCCCTCCCT